GAGTAAGTATTCAAGCAAATGAATTCAATGAATTGTTGAAAAAAATACAGGAATGAAATAAACTACATTGAAATATGCAGGAAGGTTTCATTGAATATTTGAACTGGATCAAGTTGTTTTACTTGTTGCTGGTTTTATGAAGGTACATAAAGATTCATCACCCTTTGGGATTAATTTTGTTGACTATTTTCCTAGTCTACATAATATGAAAATTTATATAAAACACTTGTTTATGACAACACTCTTTATTAGTAAGCACATGTGAATTATATGTAGATTATATGCATGTCGGCTTTGGATAATGTTAAAACCTCCCAAATATATTTCATCCTTCCCCATATGTAATAACCAAATAATGTGAATGGAATTGACCTCACCCTTAGTTCTGAGGGGAGTTCTGATGAATTCTCCCCCATTGACATTCTGGTTGGTTTGGGGCTGGGAATGTATAGCAGATTTTAAGTCAATCAATATTTCCCTAGCCATAGTGATCCACCTAATCCAACAAAACATACAACTTGTTCCAAAGTTATGGCAGGCAACCAGCCCTCTTTTTCTATGTCTGGCCATGAAAAAAATCACCTGCAATCCCAGTTACTACTGGCAGCCATTCTACGCCCACAAGAAAGCAAGCCTTCAGAAGAAGCCAACACTATAGACTGAAGAATAGCAAGCTAGAAAGATACTCTGTGTGCTGATAACATCACTGATTAACCATGAAGAATCTTTAGTCTCTGAACCTTCTAGTCACGTGTCAGCAAATTCCTTTATGAGTTAACTAATATAAGTAGCCTCTTTTGTTACTTGTACCTTAAAGTATCCTGCATAGTACAACACCCATCAAAATATGTTCATCCACTAAGAAACTTTAATGGCTATACAATTAAAGACATTAAAGGCATAGATCCTACAGAGGCTAAATCATCTACTAGAGATGATCTGAAGAATATTTAAAAAGATAGTAATAGCAGAAACAACCTAAAAGAGAATTTTTTGGGTAAGTATCACAATCTTGCCAATACATGTTGGAACCATGATTGTTTTGAACTATGCCTATCTACAATATCTTTTATTGTGAAACATACATCAATAATAAATGTTTTTAAATGACTGCATGATTTACTCTCAAGATGGGAAGACTATAAAAGAACAGTAAATCAATCTTAGAAGAAACACAAATATGTGCTGACTAAGATAGCAGTAACATTAAAGAAAGCAATGAGTGTAAGCAAAAGAATGAATGACTATTCTATAAATTGAAGAATTGAGTTTCTTGGGTAAAAATCAATGATGATATATGAAAAAATAAAAGGCATGAACTTTTATTACTTGGAAACAATAGCAACCAATTAAGGTTAAGGAAAGACAAAGAAAATTGGCAATATATTGGCACTCATGGAGTCAACAGAAGCTGCAGACAGAGTTAAGAATGGGCAGAAAACAAGGCTATACCAGAGCCTAAGAAACTAGACTCAAATAGGAAAATTCAAATCAGGATGCAACTATTTCAGGGGTGGTAACAAAGTGGAGGTCGATGGTGACCTATGATAAAAGTCATTTCAGTGGAGTCTATGAATGTTTGGAGAAGACTGAAGAGTGAGTAGAAAAATAAGCAACCCTTTTGAAGAATTTTTCTGTGAAGGGAAGAACAAAAAGACATGAAGTCAAGAGAGATTTGTCTGTCTCTTCATGCTGCTACTTAGTATGTCTCTATGATGATGGGCTTAAATCACTGGCTAGACCACCCCTCCCTGCAAGTGACCCTCATCCTTCATGTCTCAGTTCTATATTATCTTCTGCTCCTCGTTTTATTCCCTTCAACAGTAGTTCCTGTCTTAATTTGTCTTCTCTGATCACTTCTACCAATGAAAGTATGAAATTTGTAACAGCATTATCTGCCTTACTATTGTATTATCAGCATCTAGAAAAGTGCCTGACACAGAGCAGGAACTCAATAAATATTTATGGGATAAATACATAAACAAATGGATGACTAAAAGTTTAGCCATTTCTTTCATTCTTATATCACTTGTTTGAATTTCAAAGTCCCAGAATTCATTTGGTGAATAGCAAAGGTCAACAGCAACCTTGTGGGTTGTTTATTTATTTATTGTCCCTCAAAAACTGAATAGGAAGACCAAGGAGAGAGGGGAATACCCACAGGGGAATCAGTGACAATTCAGGATCTCCAAATGACAAATGCTCACAACAAGACTAACTTATAAAGAAGGAGAAGCAGTGCTTACCTCCTACCTCAAAGAAAAAACCATAAATAAAAAGTTTACATTCCTGTTCATCAACTAAAAGCTTTCAATTTTATCCTTCTGCTTCTTGAGGAAAGGGATAGGCAAGTCTCAAGTCTCTCTGCTTACATAGATAAATATCCCTCTTCACTGAAACAAGCTGGAAGCCTAGAGATAATTAGACCCACTGTGTCAAGCAATCAGCAACACGGGAAAGAGCTCACAAAAAAACAATGAGAAGAGAGTTAAATAATTCTTGAGCGAGAAGGGAAACCTTGGCAGTCAGTTCAAAGATGTTTTGGTTGTTGTGGTTCACAGACTGTTCTGTATTTGTTTGTTTTATGTTACGTTGGTTTCTCTCTCATTTTCACCCTCCCTTTTATCCTAATCTACAGCATACCCAAGACACCCAGACCCTGACACATGACCTTGTGTCCATCACAATGAAGTCAGTGAATTTCCCTTAGTCCATACTGTGAAAAGGAGTCATTTGACTCAGTATGATTGTTCCCCTGCAGGAGCAACTCCTATGCAGTACTTCAGTTTTCTTCAGCTGACGCATACTTTTTTAATACTCTGCACCTGTTAGCTTAGATGAACTCTTTATGAAAATCTAAAACCTTCTTCATTTATTCTTTTTCCAATAGAACATTCACAGCTACCAGAATGGGAACAAGGACAGTATCAATTTCATTCATACCCAACACCATGCCAAGTACACATGGACTTTCCACAAATATATTTGGCGAATAAGTGAATAAATACATGAAAATGAGTGGACAGAGTAAGGTCAAGGGCTATTTTCAAAGCAGAGACTCTCAAGACTCCTCATGTGGCTTTCTTTCATCTCTTTCTGTTTTGCTCTTTTTTCATTGCTGTATTTCTTCTACGCTGCTTCCCACTCTTACTGACACATGTATGCATGTATGCATCATAAGTTTGAAAAGGTATACCGATAACTATTAGCATGACTTCATACCCATCAAGACTCTTACTTGTTATATGCATGTATGTGGTTTCTGCTTTAAAGAAACGATAAAGTGTTAACAGATTTTCAAATTGTATTTATTAATCTACAAGAGTCCTAGGGAGTTTACAGTATTTTTTTTAGTTTAAAATGTTGTTGTTAATGGTGAAAGTGTCAAGGATTAATGTATATTTCTAGAAAGTTAATACATATTCTACAACATACTTTTTTCCCTTTAGACTTAGAGGAAAAATTATTTTTTCTTAAAATTCAGTTCAACTTTTAAAATAAAACCATTTCAATGATTTTATTCATAAGTACTTTCCCTTAACATAATAATAAAAGAATATTATTAATTATTTTTCAGTCAAGAATTCTGTAGATCAATGTTTCTTCAATAAACCCTCATAGCAGTAACAGTTGAAAAGTCACAGTTTTTCAAGGACTTTTTAAAAGTCTATTTTTGTACTAGTCATCTCTCCCAGCCTTGCTTTTCTTCATCAGTGAGATATAAGATAAGATTAATAACCATTATAAATAATTAGTGTCTACACTGTCTTTCACCAGCCATTATTGAGATGAGCTTCTTTTCAGAAATTGCTTTTACCAACTACATGATGAATATTTGCACATTCCTCTAAAATGCATTGAAGTATCATCTGCTTGGTGGGTTTTTAATAACTTGGGCTCAAGAAACAGAACAGAATATTAGAGTTGTAAGTGATGACAGAAACAGCTCAAGTAAGTTCTTTAAATAAGAAAACTACAACAGAAAGAGGGGAACTGGTTTTCTAAATTCTACAAAGGCTGCTAACTAAATGTATGCAATTAACAATAATCCAATCTTTGTCTTTCTACACTTAATGATTTTTTTTCACCCAAAACAACTGCTCAAAATTCATTATTTATAACGTTTTACCAAAGGGTCGCATGACTTAAAACTCTCTGCAGAAGTAAATGCTAATTACACTCTTTAATTGATCAGTTCCAACTACTCCCACCACTATTGCAGTTATTTGATCTAAATGCTCCATCCCTAGAAACAAGTTCTGTGCTTAGAAACGAAAAATTGCGGTCATACCAATCTAATTTATTTTGGTACAAGCTTTATTTGGGTGAGCCTAAGACATAGGGGATCAAAATCCAGGAGCGATTCTGATCTTTACTGCACAGCTCCTTTATGTACATCTTGCCAGCGTTGGACGTAGAGTAAATACAGACTGACTGGGATCAGGAATGAATCCAGGAAGAAATGTAGCAACTGGCTTGGGAAAAGGTGACTGAGAACTTTACACAAGCAAGAGGTAAGGAGGAACAACAGCTATAGATGATTCGAAATGATGAGAAGGATACTAACATGTTAGCACCTCTGCAGTCCTATGCCAGAAAAGCAGTCTTAAGTTAGGATGTGGCCAGGTGGGGTCTTCTGTTTGTGAGCAGAGAAAGTAGGTCATGATAATGGGATGATACTAAACCACTGCTTAGCCTGTAAGACTAATCCACTTCTGTGTGCGCACCTCTCTCAGACAAGCAGTGTGACTGTTTCCCTAGCACTGGTTGTGGACATAAACACACCATGGATTGAACATAAAACCACAGCTTCTGGTTCACATTGAATAAGTTTTCCAGAAATGATGAACATGCTATGTTACTTCATCTGTTCTCATGCCTGGATCTGATCTGTGAGATGTTTTAATGGGTTATATGGCTTTGTAATTGAGATTATTTTTTTTCTTTGGGAAGTTAACTGCCCTTTCTACAGACATTGTAGTTGCCTAGCAACAGGAACAGCAGTGCAGTAGCAGGGATTCTAAAACTCTGAGGAATGGGGAGAGTTGAAGTCTGTCCTATGGACCAGGGAACCTAGCTGGCCTGGCTTGAGATGGGAAAGTGTTATAGCAAGAAGTCTGTGGTCCCAGAGACTGAAACCCCAAAGAGAAGCAGGTAAGTTCCCAATTCCTCTTGTCCCAAAATAATTCATGGGAATGTCTGGATAAAGTAGTCTTTGCTCAGCACTTCAAAGAAAACATTTCTGGAAAGTCTGGAGAAAAATATCAGGTTTTTTAATCCTTTTCTGGGGAATGGCCTCTTTTCTTTCAATCCCACTGTCTACTCAGGTCATAGAGTAGGGCCTGACACATAGTGGATGGTCAACAGATGTTTGCTGAATAAATAAAATGTCCCTCACTCATTCTTCTCAAAATCACACTCACCCCAGTCATTTTATTGGTGTGGGAATGAGCTGAGCCCTCATTTTTCCAGAATCACTATAATGAAAGTTCATTGTCATAGCTCCTTTGTCAGGAGGTAAGCATAAAAGAAGCTACGTCATTCCAACTCACCCCAGATTTAAAAAGCCAAGCCAATTCTGGCTACAGATGTGGAAGTACAGTTTACCTCTATCACTGATCTACAGTTAATCACTAGAAATATGTATTTTTGCACAATATTCATTTCCTTCTCAAATGTAGAACTGCCTTCCAATTAGAGTATTTGTTAAACCTTGAATGAGAGTTGACCACACCTTTGTCTGTGGTCCATGGATGACGTAGGAAATTCACAAGTGTCCCAAATTTTATGTCATGTAGTTTCTAAGGGCAAGAGAGTACATGACCATTTTAAGATTTGGAAGGGAGGAACTTTTCCTTGTCAAAGAAAATGAAATTTAGCAAACATTTTCTTTTAATTCTCCTGAACACACTACCTAAACAGATAATAAGTCAGTGTGCTCACTGATGATGGAGAGCTAAACATAATGTGACTGGATGGAGGAAAAATGCCCTATGATTAATGACTTTGAAATGAATAACCCAGTGTACAAGCAGCAATGAAGCCCCATGGAAAGCAGGACTTTGCTCTTACTGTTAATCATCACTGTGTTTTTGTTCTCCTGGAGTATGGAGTGGGGTGTTCTGTGCAAGTAGAGAGCAGGGCTTGAGAGAGGAGTTAGTGGCGTACCATGCTATGTCAGGTAACCTTTAGGTAGGCTCAGTGCAGCTCCTTGATCTCTGAAAAGGAACAAACTGCTTCCGTGTGTCTTTTTGCCCTTTTATTCTTCCCTCCTGTCATCTCTTCTCATGCCCTTGAGACAGACTGTTTCCATAGTTTATATAAACTAAATGGGAACTTGATGTTGTGTTATCTAAGCAAGGGAGGGGAAGGTCCTGGATGCAATTAACCTAAGGAATAAAAAGAGCATTTCCCAGGAAATCCTCCTATAAGAAGTGGGTGCTTAAAATTGTACTTCTCAACCAATTACATTAAAATCATTTATTCACAAGAACTAACTGGTGATTAAACACTATGTCAAATCAACATAAATAACTTGGGGTAAAAAGTTTTGAGGATGGAGGAAGATAATTCACTTAATAAGAAAGTGTTTAGGTTCTTGCCAAGCACTAGGAAAAAAGCTACTGTAAGGCTAATATGTTATAGTACTACTTTTTTGCTAATAGAAATTATAAGAATTTTTCTAGTTTCCTCAGGAACCCTGAAGTAGGAAAACACTACGATGAAAACAAACTTCATAAATACATTTGTTAATTTTAAAATTTCTTCCTAGTCTAATAGACTTTCTAAAGCCATCCCCCCTTAATTATGGTACAACATGACTTGTACTGTGTATGCAGAGTTACTATGGTTACTCTGAGGCCATGACTCATGACCTTTAAATATTATTGTCAGGCAGCCAAAGCTCCCTCAATTTTAAATCAGTTTTGTTTCAGGCATAATTAAAAGAAGATGGTTTCAAATAGTATTTTCTCTTGTGTATATGTGGCACATCTGAATATGTACATAAGGACATTATACTCATAATGCTTTGTTTTGTTTAGCTTCATTCAGTGACTGAATATTAACTTCTTGTTTGGCATGCTGTTGGTAAAATTAAAAAAAAAAAAGGCAGCCAAGGCATAGTTCTTGTCCTCTCCGAGGGTGCCACTGAGAAATGCAAAAGCATAGGTATAAGAGACAGGTGTCTAAAAACTGCTCATGCACGCAGAAGCAAAAAATACTTCTCACTGGTAGGATCAAAGAGGCAACAGGAGGAGGCATCATTTGAGTTAGAGTATAAAGAATGGGTAAAACTTTGAGAAGTAGAGAAAAGAATATGAGTATTCTGGTCAGAGAAGACACCCAAGAAAAGGATAAACGCAGGCTCTGGAACTACTGAGTAGGACAGTTTGGTGACTCAGTTTTATGAGATGTGCTGACAGAAGATACAATTAGTTAAAGGTAAGAGGGTCTAGCTTAGAAGGTCTTTCAAAACTATTTGTTGTTTTGTTCAGCAACTGTGACATTTGAAATGTTGTTATTCATCTCATGGTAAAGAACTACTGTCAAGTAGGAAGCACCAAAATTAAGGTTTCCTCCCACTATCTGATAGTAGAGAATTCTCACGAAATCATTCCTAAACCAAAATGGTGTAAAGAGGACATTACCATTAATTTAATGGAAAAATTTTTTGGCTTTCCCAGATTTCTATAATCATACCAAATCATAGCAAATGACACATAAAACCTAAAATAATACTGACATATGGTAAAAAAAGGAATGATACAAGACCCAGCCTATATAAAGCAGAAGTAATGTATATACAGTGTATTCACTTACCAGAATCAGGAAGACAGTAAGCGCACATGGGAAGGCTGAGAGGCAGAGATGATGATAGTGTTAGGAGCAGGTGTCGAAAGATGGGGTGCTGGGAGGTACTGGAGCCTGGAGTGTAGGAGAGAGAGGAAAAGGGTCATCTATTATTTCATTGTCATCTGAATTCATCAGGGTAGAAGACTCATGAATGTCTATACTTCTTCTATGCCTTGTACACCTTCATATCTGCCTCAATATTGAAGGCTAAGGTTTACTGCTATGACTGACTTAGTCGATGTGGAAAGCCTGAAATATGATGGAATACTTGACTGCTTAGCTTCTAGCATTTTCCCATCATATAAATCTGTGTATGCACTCAAAATAACCTGCCAATCTGCCCTAGGTGCTCTTTCAAAATTAGAGTCATACTTTCCTGCAGTCACTGTCACCCTGTAAGTAATAGCAAAAATGATTCACAATCAGTGCCTGGAGGACTTCACTTTCGATCATTTGCTATTGTATTGGGTTTCAATTACCTGCAGTTTTATACTAAAACAACACATTTATGAGCTCCCTTAGGTTTTTCTGATACCTGAGGGCATTTTGCTAACAGATGCATGCATAAAATAAATTGAGATAAAACACAGATACTCCCAGACACAGTTCAAAGTTATGGTGGTTTTGATGTTGAGATGCTGAGGGTAACTCCTGGGAAGGAGCTTGATGGAGCAGTTCTCCCTCCTCACAGTCTGTTCTACCTCTTAATGGTTGCCACAAACCAACAGCTTTCATGAAGTGTTTTTTGCTATTCACTTTTGTTGTAAACGCAACAATGCTCTTGGGAATTCTTTCAGTTAGCAAAACAGGTGCTAATATAGGCCTCTAGTGAAAAAAAAAAAGTGGTAAATCTTGAACTTTCAAAAAGTGGAGCATACCTATACTGATCTTAGCTGATTTAGGTGTGATGAGAGAAAAGCAATTAAATCTCTGGGAACCCCACTGTGTCCTTCCACTGAGTGGGAATTTAATTAATTGTGTTCAGTAGTCACTGATTACTTTTGAACATTTTAAAATGGATTGGAATTTTTTGAAAAGTGAGAGACATGCAGAGAAATAAGGAGATAAAATAATGCATTTGCAAAGGAAACAGTGGGATGGAAAACAATAAAGTACCTGTGAATTATAAAGTAAGACTTACTGGTTGGCAACAGTTGAAAGGGTCTTTTTACGATTTGAGGTTTATCATCATCCATTTATGCATTCATTTATTTAACAAGTATTTATCAGCCATCCCAGCCCTATTCAAGATACTAAGTAATGGCAGAGTAATAAAATAACAGAGAAAATGTTCTATCATCAAGGAATCTTTATTTCCTGTCAAAAGGAGCCACAATAAATATATAATCAGCAAGAAAATTATATAGTATGTTGGAATATGGTTAGTACTGCAGAAAAAATTAAGTGAGGTGTTAGGACAAATTTCGGAGTGGAGGATTCAGTTTTATTTATTTTTTTAAAGATTTATTTATGGGGGCCTCCCTAGTGGTGCAGGTGGTTGAGCGCCGCACCGTGAAGCTGTCCGCAGCCTCTGCAACGTGGGTTCAATCCCGGCCAGCCAGGGGAGAAACCCACATGGCACGCAGACCTCTTCTGTTGTGCCCGCTGCTCCCCTCAGCAGTGTATTTCGTCAGTTTGCCTGTTCTGTTCCCCACTCTGTCTCTGGTGACTCCTCTCACCCTCCTGCACATCTGGCCTGTACCCTGGTTCTTGTATAAATAAATAAATAAATAAATAAATAAATAAATCATTTAAAAAAATTTATTTATGCATACAAGAATTGGGGTACAGGCCAGAAGTGGGGGGGGGGTGAGAGGATTCACCAGGGACAGAGTGGGGAACAGGACAGTTTGACTGAAATACACTGCTAAAGGGAGCAGAGGGTGAGTCAGGAGAGGTCTGCTGCACCATGTGGGTAGTTCTCTGGCCAGGGATCGAACTCTTGCTGCAGTGGCTGCAGATAGCTTAATAGGTTGTGTCTCAACGTGTTGTGCCACCAGGGAGGCCCAGGATTCAGTTTTAAATGCAGTATATATGGTAAGTCTCACTGAGAAAGTGGTAGTTGAGCAAAGATATAAAGGGAATGGGAAAGAGTGGGTAGACAGGTATAGAATTAATGTTCCTGGCAGATAAACTTGATATGGGCATCTACATGAGATGGTTGAACAGTGAGGAGACCAGTGTGACTCTGAAGGGAAGGATGGGGAAGAAGAATATTATAACAGATGTATTTAGGGAGATATAGGAGTTAGTTGTGTGAGGAGGTTAAGAAGGGAGTGGGATGGAGTCCTACTGTGGATGAAAGGGTGAGAAGAGCCATCTGTAGTACATTGTCTCTTGTGTAGGCTTTGGTTTTCATTTTGAGTGAAATAAGATGTATTGTTGGAGTATTTTGAGCAGAGTGGTGAGATTATTTTTTCTGTGATGAAAATAGAATGGAGGGGCCAAAGGTGGAAGCATATCATGTCATTTAAGAGATTCATGCAATAATTGTGACAAAAACAGATGGTAGTTTAAAGTTTGAAATCAGGGTGTTAAAAGTGAAAGTAGTGAGAAGTGATCAGGTACTGCATATATTTTGCTGGTAGAATCAAGAATTTCCTGTTGACTTGGATATGGGCTCTGAGACAAAAAGAGATGTCAGGGAAACTGAAAATATGATACCATCATTAACTGAGATGCAAGTAGAGCAGATTTGGGAGTAGAAATAAAAAGTTAGGTTTTAGAAATGTTGAAAATTGAATGAATCTGGAATTCAAAAGAAAAGTCTGGACAGGAAATATGTATTTGGGAGTGATCAGCATAGAGACATTTAAAGTTATGAAGATGAATGAAATCACAAAGGGAGTGAATATGAATAGAGAAGAGAGGAAGTCAGAGGTTGGACACCTGGAGCACACCAAGTTGAGACTTCAGAGAAATGAGAAAGAACCATCAAAGGAGTTGATAAGGAACAACAGATGGTCAGGAAGGAAACCTGGAACCTTAAGATATTCTGGGAGTTAAAGTATTTCAAGGAGTGAGTGATGCAACATTTCAAAAGCTGTCAAGTAAGGTGAGCTGTAACAAGTAACGACTGCATAGTAATGTGGAGATTACTGGTGAATTTAAAAGTACAGATTCTGTGGAGTGCTATTTGCCAGAGTCTTAATGAAGAGGCTTTAACAAAAAAATATGAGGAAAGAAATTGGAGACAATGAGAATACAGTCTTGCTATGAAGCAGATCACAATAAGGCAGAAACTAAAAGGTTAAAATGTTTGAAGATGCAAAAAAGAAAGCAGCATGTATGTAAACTATTGGAAGTGGAGAGAGAGAGAGAAAGAGAATGAGAATTCTTTAAGTCTGCTGTTTCACAGGATGATATACTTTCCTCCCTGTACTTTTTTTTTAGTTGAAATAAGAGATTTAGCAGGTTTTCAGAACAGATTGTACTGTTCAGACTGTTTATTCTCAAGAGAACCTTTAAAGTCTATTTTATCTTCTTTGAGTAAAGTTTACATTCCAAAGTTTTTATTTCCTTTACAAATGTCCAGAAATTGACATTTGGAGGAAATGCTTTACAAAATTTATCTTCGATGTTACAGTGTAAAGGTCTATTTGATGCCGGGGTGAGTTTGTGTGTATGGACATGTGTACACGCCTGAAGTAAAAATCAGGAATTCTAAACTCTAACTTTATTTCAGCACCATATCTGGAAGTTCAGAGTCAGATACACAACAAAGAAAGAAAACATCGGTAAGAAATGAAGATTTTATGAATTTCTTTTAACGCATAATAACTAATGAAATGATAACTTCTTTAGTTAATATTGAGATTTTTCTAATATATACTTTCTTTTTCATACTTTACTAGTGAAGATTTTTAAAGTAAAGCATAGAATCTTCTTTTTCAAGTAGAATGGATTTGGTCAGAGCATCAACCAAAGGATGTTATTGGATAGCAGGGAAGTTAAATGTGGTGTGGTAGAACCTTTCCCCTTTTTACTTGTCATAAATCTCACTCTTCTTGTCCATCACCCTACGATATTGTAGGTAAACTTAGTTACTTCAAAGTATTTCTTGTATATGAGAAGATCCTGAAATTTAAACATGATATAGAGTGAGTAAATTATATCTAGTTTTTCTAGGTTTGGGTTTAAATCATGATCTGTCCATTAATTCCAGTTCATTCTCTTTATGTCAGCTGATGAAATACCCCCTTTCGACCCTTGAGGTAGGCTCACTTCTATGGACTCTGCTATGCCCTTGGGACAATCAGATCCTTTCCACCTCAACCTACTGGATTCTTCCCTAGGCCTTGGACAAGTGTTGAAGTTGGGTGATTGGTAAAGGGAGACTCATTATACTAGTTCCTTTAAAAAGAAAACAAGCTGTCTATTTCCCTAAGGCACTCTTGATGCTGTTTTAGGGAAAATCTTTTAAACTCTACCCATCATGTTTCTGGAAAAATCCTTTCAACTCTAATATAGAGCCAGTGTGGTATAGAATAAAGATCATAGAGTCTAGGAATCAGGCCCAAATTTGCCTTCTTCAAGCTGTATGCTAAAAACCAAGTCATTAAACTCAGAGTGCTATTTTTCATCCATAGAATGAGGATGATGAGATGTTAATAGTCTACATCAAATGAGATGTTTGGGATGTGAAAATGTTAAAGTATCTATAGTCCCTAATGGGCTTTGGGGACTCTGCTACTCACGTTCTCTGTTTCTTTCTGGATTCCAGCAATTCCACTACACCACTCCCATCCCACTCAGTATCACCAGCTAAGAATAAATGATCTAGGGAGGCATGTATTCAGAACCTTACTCCTGCACAATTATTTGTGTTCATAAAATATTAACATTTCTAAGTAGAGTTTGTTTAATCTGCCCAGACATATTGGACATAGCTCCCAAACTTGTAAACATTTTCAAGAGGAGGGTTTTATTGAAGACATGTAAGTCAAAGGGAAAACAAACTAAATTAGCAGAATTTATCTTTAATTTTTTTCCCTAAATTTAATGACAATTTTCGGCTATGAAAAGAAAATAATGAATTTTTACTTTATAGTGAAGCTATTTATAATTTTGTTGTCCAAAGAAAGTGTATCCCATACTGGTTCAATGTGAAAACACTTTTTGATTGCAGTGTATTTTCAGTCTCTCTGCCTCTTCTGTTTCCCACTCTGTCTCTGGTGTATCTTCGCACCCCCCACCCCACTTCTGGCCTGTACCCCAGTTCTTGTATGCATAAATAAATTAATCTTTAAAAAAAAAAAAACCTCTTGGGGTAGCCTTTATTTTGGAGTTTGGGGAATGAAAGACTTTAATTCACAAATCTGTGTACTGCCTTTTCCTCTAACAATGCCGCTCAATTAGCACACTTGAGGTAATCCTCTCACTGGTTGCTTAGACACTGAAAAGGACAAGCTACCAATTACCACATTTAGGATTTCTGCCTAGGGCTCCCAATTAGCTTCCTGGAGTTCAGAATTTATCTCCTTTCAATTTTCATTTAACATAGTTGGGAGCCCTGGGGTTTCCAACTGGTACTGCTTTAGTTACTGCATTTCTACATTTCTAATAGAATAGATTTAGTTGACAGAGGTTGGGATTAGTGACCTCAGGGCCATAGGCTGTCCACAACTAGTTGCTGCTTCCTTCTCACCACACCATTTCCTTTAAATCTAGAGTGATCACTCAGCAGAGCCAATTCTGCTATATATTATCCTGAGAAACCAAATTGCAAGTAGATGCTTCTTTTTTTTTTTTTTTAAGATATATTTATTTATTTGTTTGTTTGTTTAAGCACTGGGCACAGTCAGAATCACGGGAGGGTGAGAGAATACACCAGAGCCAGAGAGGGGAATGGAAAAGGTAGAGTGACGAAATACACTGCTGAGGGGAGCAGTGGGTGCTGCAGGAGAGGTCTGCGCGCCATGTGGGACCCTCCCCGGAGGCCGGGGGATCGAACCGGTGCTGCAGAGGCTGCGGGCAGCCTCGCAGCCCAGCACTCAACTGCTGCGCCACCAGGGGAGGCCTGCAAGTAGATGCTTCTTATAAATAATCCTAGTTAGTTTTGGTAGAAAAGATGAAATCTTTTCAATTCAGTGAAGACATATTGATCATCCCAGCAGAATGAAACATGCTCTACCTTTGTGGCAGAGCATGTTTCCCTGTTTGCCTTTACCACACTGCTCTCTGCCTTAACATTTACACTCCCCTGGTAAACTCTGAATTCTTAGACTGGAGACTGGCCTTTAATTATCTCCCAGTCCCTGCACAAAAATGATGGTCAATTATCACTTGAGACAGAATGAATGGACTGAACCTCACACATAGCACTAGGTGATTGCTGGATGCTGAGCCTCTGAATGCTTTTAACATCAAATGGGATGGTTTCTAGTGGCATCACTATTATATCGATCCTTTTCTTCATTTTATCATTCCCACTTAGAACTTAAGATATTGGGGATCTCCCTGGTGGCGCAAGCGGTTGAGCGCAGTGCTGTGAAGCTGTCCGCAGCCTCTGCAGTACGGATTCTATCCCAGCTGGCCGCAGAGAAATCCACATGGTGCGGCAGATCCTCCTGTCTCGCCCGCTGCTCCTCTCAGCAGTGTATTTCAGTCAGTCTGCCTATTCTGTTCCCCGTTCTGTCTCTGGTGACTCCTTTCACCCTCCCGCACATCTGGCTTATACCCCGGTTCTTGTATGTATGAATAAATAAATCTTTTAAAAAAAAAAAGAACTTAAGATACTGAGATCTTCTGAGATTGAGGGAGGAAAGTCTGGCTGTTAACTGATCAAAGAATATGAGTTCACTATATAGTAGGAACAATCTGGGGAAATCCAAATGAAAGTTAGTTTATTTAGATCCACTTCTCAGGTAGCAGATTGTCCCAACTTATCTGGACCTTATTGCTTTGTCCTGGTGGAGGATTAGAATGTTATTTGAACTGTTGCCTTTGCTGCATTCTAATATTTTCTGACAGAGAACAGCTATGCATATAAATCACCTCATATGAAACTGCTTAGGAAATAAAAATTCTGTTGCATGAAGACTTGACCTGAGTCCTGACTCAGCATTTCTTCTCTTGCACTATTCTGGAGAATTATGCCACATAAAACTGAATGATATAAAACATACTAAAACATATAGTGTCATCAGTTATGTGAAGTGACACATCCAAAAGTGAGAAAGTGGGTATGAATTCATTAATGCTAGAACATGTATAAATTATCTTAATTCATTTGTAAACTAAAATTATTAAAAAGTCTTATAAGCCATTCACTTAAAAAATCAAAACTAGCTAGCTGAACATAAAAATGAGGTACACAGCAAAGGATAGGACAGGAGGGAACACAAAACAAGGGATAAACAAAAAAGGAATATGGTGATGGTTCACAGGTGATACGGTGGTGGGAGAACTATTGGGACTACAATGATGTAAGAAAAAAATTTAATTGAAAAAACAAACTGTAGGGCCTCTCTGGTGTTGCAGGTGGTTGAGCACAGCACTGTGAAACTGTCCACAGCCTCTACAGCGCGGGTTTGATCCCGGCTGGCAGGCGAGATGCCCACATGGCGCAGCAGACCTCTCCTGTCTCGCCCACTGCTCCCCTCAGCAGTGTATTTCAGTCTGCCTATTCTGTTCCCCACTCTGTCTCTGGTGAATCCTCTTACCCTCCTGTGCATCTGGCCTATACCCCGGATCTTGTATATATAAATAAATAAATCTTAAAAAAAAATGTAATTTAGTAATGATGATTTAAAAATCATTATTTTAAGTACTAAAGATATAAAATGTCTTTAGTTTTATGTCTTTGGTTTGTAAGGTCAAAATTATAGCATACTACATAGGAAGATGGCTTTCCAAAATGATAAAGTAGGTAAAAGAATTTACATTAGATAAACTGGGGAAGGCAAACAATGCCTGAAATTATGTCAAATCATAAATTTTGCTTTTTTTTTAGTACTGCTAGAGCATATTAGTTTTGTAGGAAATATATAATTGGTCACATTTGTGATATATTTTAACATTTTTAAATGACTTTCAGAAGATACTTCTCTTTGATAACAAATCACAATGAATCATTACTGTTAATATATCACTTGGAGATATTTATCTTATCTGTTCTTAAAATGAGATCAATATATAATGGTACTGTGAGTCCATACTTAACATTCTCAATAGGTAGTTTCTTTGAAACTTAGACATCAAGTGAAACTACAATAATGAGACTAGGTGATGGAATAATATTACTTTGTTTAACTTAGGTGGGGATTGTTTTCTTCCCATCAACATTATAAAAAAAACCATGGTGAGCAAAAAGACCATTCCTTGTGAATAATTCTTTTATTAACCTTTTTTGTGTGTGCCTGCAGCGGAGTATTAAGCCCTTTTTAAGCGCGCGGGTGAAGACCCACAGTCAGGAAACCCATTTTATACCGGGGCTGCCCTGTAACAATATGAGGACATGCTGTATTTCTATACACATTTGTTATTCTAGGAAATAGGTTATACATATTTTTGTCACTTATAAGTGAGAAGTGATATCTCAGAACTTTATGTTTTGGGTTTCTCTCTATTCCTTTCCTTCTTTCTCCCCATCCTCTCTCCCTCCCTTCTTCCATCTCTCCCTTTATCTTTAATGAGGTATAAATTGACAAATCTTAAATTGAGTTTTGACATATGTCTATACATGTGAAAATGTCACCATAGTCAAAATAATGAATAATTGTCAGATAACATAGTC